GAAGGCCCGAAAGGACCTCCAGGACCTCCAACGGCCTGCCCCCACGACGACTCGAGGACTCCCGGCGGCCAATGGCAGCGGCCTCGGCGCCCCGATGCGCGCTCCAGGGCCTGCTTGCCAGCTCTCCCTCACACGGCGGCACGAGGGAACGCGGCAGCCCCCTGCGACGGCAGCGGCGACCCCGACGACGACGACGACGACGACGACGACGACGACGACGACGACGACGACGACGACGACGACGACGACGACGACGACGACGAGGCGACGACGACGACGACGACGACGACGACGACGACGACGACGACGACGACGACGACGACGACGACGACGACGACGACGACGACGGGGGGAGAGGGCACCCCAACTGGCCTCGGAGGGGCTGCCGCGGCCGGCATGCCTCCGAGGGCTGGGCTTCGCACTCTCCCAAGGAGCACGCTCCTGGGCCAGCTTGCCAGCTCTCCCCCACGCGGCGGCACGAGGCCACGCGGAGGCCACCAGCGGCAGCGGCGGCGACCCCGACGACGACGACGACGACGACGACGCCGACGCCGACGACGACGACGACGACGACGACGACGACCGACGACGACGACGACGACGACGACGACGACGCGGCGGCCGACGGCTGCGGAAGCGGCGGCAGCGGCACGACGACAGGGAGGGAAGAGCGAAGGCAGGGAAGGGACCGAGGAGGAGGAGGAGGAGGGGAGGGCGGCCTGGCCCCGGCAGACCCGACCCGCCCGGCCCGGCCCTGCGGAGCGGGAGGACGGGAGGGAGAGGGGACGAGGCGACCCCCCGGGGCCCGAAAAACGGCCTCCTGAGGCCGACGGCGCGGAGAGACAGAACCCCCCCACCACCCACCCCCTCCACCCCCTTTTTTCTACCTATGCTCTGTTTTGCAACTGATGCGCTGTCCGTCACACAATCCTCACAGGAAATGCACTGCCTGCTGGGCAAAAGGCTGGATGGGGGGAGGAGGAGGAATCGGAGGAGGAGGAGGAGGAGGAGACGCAGGAAACATCAAAACTACCTGTGCGGACTTGAACAAAAGGGTTCTGACTCGGCTCCTCTACAGATGCTGCACAGCATCTGCCTGCCGCTCCCCGGGCGCACGGGGGCCCTACCTAGAGTGTGGAAGAGGGAGGTGGGCGGAGGAGAAAACAGAGCGCAAGGGGTAGAGGCTCCCCCGAGAAGTCTTACCGCGAGGCTAGGCTGCCTGGTCAATCAGACGCCGGGGGCGGCGACCATGCTGCTGGCGGCAGGGGCGGCAGAGGCGGGAGCGCCTGCGGGCCGCCAATCCGCTGGGGGGCTGGCGGGGTGCCATTGTTCCAGGGCTCGGTCCAGGCCTCGAGCTTGGCCAAGATCGCCTCCTGGACGCCGTTCTTCTTGCTGGCAGACACGTGCACGTGGCCTCCTTTGCGGAGCCAGACATGGGCTGCTCCCTTCTTGTGCCCGAACTGCAGGAGCACGCCCTTCGGCACGGGATCCCGCTTGGGGACGTGGCACCACTTGCCAGTGGCCATGAGGGGGCCGCTCACCGGGTGAGTGTAGGCCCAGTACAGCACGATCCGGTCCGTCGGGAGGCTCCCGTCTGGGAGCCTCCGTACCCACCTGTCCACGTTGTGCTTGTCTGCCTCTGCAGCCGGCGGGCCCTGGACGCGCCCGAACTCCGGGAAGAGCGGGTCGCAGGCCCTTGGCTTCGGAGCGGCGGTTGCTGGCGGGGCGCCCCAGCCCTGGGCGTCACCCCCCCGACCCGCTGGGGGCAGAGCGTGCGAGGGGGGCGCCCCGTTACCGGCGGCAGGGCTGGCTGCTGGCCCGCAGGCCCCGCACAGGAGCCGCAACCCCGAAGGCCCTTTGGTTGCCACAAGAGCGTACACAAGCTGCCCACATCCCATGCAGGCAAGGGCCGCCGCGTCACCCGAACCCTGCCCGGGCTCAGCCCCGCCGACGCCACGGCCTGTCCAGGGGTCCGGCTCCAGCCCCGTGAACTTGGCCCGCTTGGCTGGGGGCTGCTGACCTGGCTCGGAGTGCCCTGCTGCTCCCGTGAACTGCTGCGCGGCGCCGGCGGCCAGAGAAGTGTTCGTTGCTTCCCAGGTGGTCCAGCAGTACTCGCAGTAGCCCGCCTTGACCGGACCGCCCACAACGCCGCACTCCACGCACTGCACAGGCAGGAGACCTTGCTCGGGCGCCCACCCTGCTCCGGAGGTTGGGAGCCCCACGGCCTCTTGCGTCCCAGGACCGGTCTGTGCCGCTAGAGCGCCGCGCGCGGACTGAGGCCCTCCGCCGCCGGTGGTGGCCTGCCCTTTGGCCTCCTGCTCCGGGGCCGCAGCCCCCTCGGGCCTCCTGCTCCGGGGCCGCAGCCCCCTCGGGCAGAACAGCCGACTCCGGGGCCTCCGCGTGCTGCTGGGGCGCCTGCTCCTGGCCCAGGTCAGAGGGGCTCCCTGGGGGCGTTGCTGGCTCCGCTTCCCAGGCGTCCCAACACCCGCCGCAGAAGAACTTGTGCTGGAAGGGGCCCTGCCCCTCTTTGAGCTGGAAGGGAGACAGGGGGGCCCTGCCGCACCAGGCGCAGCGCGACGGGAAAGAGCTCGAGTCCTGGCTCTGGCCGGCCCCAGGGCAAGCGCCCGCCTGGTCCCGGGCCTCCGGCGCTGGAGCGGCGCTCCGGGACTCCGCACCTCCCTGGCCTTCCGGGGGCGAGCCGCCCTGGCTGACCGTGAACGCGAGGGCGGGCTGCGACGGGGGGGGGGCCCCCAGCGGCCGCCGCGGCTCGCCAGGACTCCTGCTGCTCGGGGTTCATGAGTTCCCACTGGCGCTTTACGGCCCGCCCGTACAAGGTCTTCGAGCAGCACGCGCCTGGGTGTTTGGACTCACTGGTCGCCGCTGCCCGGAGGGTTGCCTTCAGGGACGGCTTGTGGTCCATCCAGTACTTGAGAACATCTTCCTGCTTCAGCTGCTCCCCGGCCATGGCGATCTAATCCGAGGCGGACCACGCTGGCTTCTGGGCGTCCGGAGGGGATGCGGGAGACTGTAGAGAGAGCGGCTGCGGAGAGGGAGGGGGGGGAGCAGCGCACCGGCATCAGCAGGGGAGGAGGGGAGGGAGAATGGAGGGGACTGAGCCAGCGCGCCGTCGAGATGCCCCTTCACCCCTCCCGCGGCTCAGCGCGACCCATGGGACGGGGGCCTGTGGCCCGTTGAGAGCAGAGGGATGGGGGCAAGGGACGATGCGCTGAGTCGACCCTGGGCCCTGACGTCCTCGCCCTGGCCCGACCTCTCGAGGCCGCCCGATCCACCTCGAGGCGCGCTTCTTCGAATAGCAAATCCTGCCGAGGGAGCATCGGCCCCAGCTTCTGACACCAAAGGAGCCCAAGCACTCAACCTCGACCGCCCTCCAGCAACACGCCTCGGCTCGGACCTGCCTCCAAAGGAGCGGCGGAAGTGGAACAGGGGGCGGAGAGGGGGGGGGAGGGAGAGAAGAGAGGGGAAGGCCCGGCCCGGCCCAGCCCGGCCAAGCCCGTCCCGACTCACCCGACCCGGCCCTGAGGGGCGGGAGGGAGAGAGGGATGGCAGGAGGGCGGGAGGGGAGGGAGGAGCAAGAATAGATGATGGTTCGGACGAGAGTCGTCGATGTCAGTCTTACGACAGATAGTGACGATGGTTCGCCTTCGGTCGTCGTCTTATTAGGATGGCCGATGATGTGAGGGCGGCGCGCGATCCCGGACTGAGGAGGCTGATGCTGCCGGAGGCCTATTGATGGGCGGGGCGGATGAGTGCTGAGCCTTCGCGGAGAGAGCGGTGTCGGAGGAGCATGGAGGAGGTAGAGTGAGGGCTTAGGACTTCGGCGGTGTGGCAGGAGACGTCGGCTTGCGGAAGCGGAAGGAGGAGGCTTGCGTGGGAGGAGGAGGCGGGGGGAGGAGGGGGAGGAGGGAGGCCGGATCCGCCCTACTTTGGGGGAAATTCGTAAGCAGGGCTCGGAAGTTCCGCCTTGCTTCTCAAGCCCCGCGGAGGCCAGTTTCCTCTCCGCCTTGCCTTTCTGTGGCTGTTTCCGCCCTGCTTCTGTGGATTTCCGCCCTATTTTGTGTTGGGTGCAGAAATTTCCGCCCTACTTTTTCGGCCTCTTATAGGTGGATCTCCGACGCAATTTTACGTTGGAGAAAACGCCAAAGTAGGGCGGATCTGGAGTCAGGGGGGTCCGGGGGGGAGCCCGTGCATCACCACACACCGAACTCGGGGGTGGACAGACCTCCTACCCTGACACGTCGATTAGCGAATTGGCCGTTCTCGGTTCGCGAGAGGGCGTCGCGGCCGTCAGTTTTGCGGGTCCAGGTCCGTCGGTTTCGGTCCCAGGCCGTATTTACTAAGGGTAGGTCTACTAAAGGGAGGTTTGTCCACCGCCGACAAACCACCCCATCCCAACCCGAAGGCTTGGATTTGCCCTGCATTTCCATTGGGGGGGGTCGGGGAACGTCGAAATAGCACATACGGAACCCGTACCCCTCCCCCCAACCCGACATTCGGGTCTTCGGGTTGGATTGGGGGGGTCTGGTAGGGAGTCAGTGCAAGGGGGTTCGCAAGGCCCCAGACGGCACAAGCGCCCAGAGATCCAACGCATTGAAAAAATCAGGACGGAGGTTTCTCGCGAATTTCGGCCCCGGGGGGCCCTCGCTGGGCCTCGGGGCTGTCGAAAAACGACTCAGGAGGAGAAGCCGGTCCTGGGGAAGGGGTCGAGACTTCCGGGGACCCCGTATTGAGAAAATCACGGCATCGGATCCCCGGGTATAGAAGAGGGAACGCAGCCAACCCGCACAGCAAGCAGGAGTAGTAAGCACGAACGATTTTCCAAGGTTGCCCTGGCCTCCTTCCCCTTTAGGCCCATCCTCGGCCGCTTGCGCTGGCCGCGCCCCGCTCGCAAAGCGTCGGCACGGCTTTCCCAGGCCCCTGCGTCCCCCCCCCCCCGCGCGTCCCCATCCTACGGGCCGACCTGCACCCCCCGCCCCGCACAG